AGGTATTGCCTCAGGGTCAATTACTGTGAGGCAGGGTAAACTACTGTGACTCAGGCCTCCATTAAACTTATCGTGACTGAGTCCTACTCTGGCAGGTGATAAGGGTTGAAAGTTAAAAACTTCCTTTGGGTGGTCTGTTCCTATTAAGCTTATCATGGCCAGGTCCTACAACCCCCAGGATTAGCCCATTCTTGGAAGTAGCACCTTTCCAATGTAGATCCCATCCCAGATTACACTCCAGGGGACCATGTTCCTCTCAGCTCATTCCAAGTTCCAGGTGACTAGTGGCAGCATCCTTGTGAGGTCAATCAAACCTGCCTCCCACCTCACCTGTCCTTCCTGTGAAAATCACTCCCCACCAGGTCTCCCGTGGACCCCAGGTGGTACTGCACGGCATGCCGTGCCTCCCGTTCCTAGGAAACCACCCACAGACGAGGATTCCTTCCTCGTTTCCTTAGAATCCCACACAACTGATTTCTGTAACCAGAAGATGTCTGTTTTCTACAGCTGTGATAGAACACCATGACCAAAAGTAACTTGAAGAGGAGAGAGTTTATTTTAATAAAATAAATAGGAATCTTATGATCCCTCCCTGTTATGGTCCCTCCCCTTTATGGTCCCTCCCCGTTATGGTCCCTTCCTTTTATGGTCCCTCCCCGTTATGGTCCCTCCCCTTTATGGTCCTTCCCCATTATGGTTCCTCTCTTTATGGTCCCTCCCCTTTATGGTCCCTCCCCGTTAGGGTCCCTCCCTGTTATGGTCCATCATGAAGGGAAGTAAGGGAAACATGAGGACCTGAATTTAATTGCCAGAAACCGGGTGTTCGAGAGCGAGGTTATGGAGCAGTAGAATTGCCATCCTCGGCAGCACACAAGCTGACAAGTTTACTCTGTCTGAGGCCATAAGGAGGCCGAAGGGCTGAGACTCAACCTCTTTGTTTCAGCGCTAATGAAGGGTAACCCAGCTCTCACTTTTTGGTCTCATTGCCTGCTTCTTACACCTGCCGTTTTATAAGGTGCCTTTTCCTCAGTTTTGTTCCAAAATTACTTCGCTGTCCACCAAATGGTGTCCGGATGTAAGAGATGGAGATTTGGGGTGTCCTGTGTCCTCTCTGCTAAGCACAGCAGCCATTAACCAACTTCATCAGAAGCAGCGGAGACTCTTACAAGTGAACATGGTGGTACTTCCTCATAGGAAGTGGGGAGGTCACTAACCACTCCCCAGTGAGATTCAGCACCCCTCCTGCTGCTCCCTCCCAGCTGTAGCTCAGTCTGCCCCAACCTGTGTGGTCTGGGTAGGTGCTAGAGGAGCCTTTCTCAGCCTGTGGGTCGCGAACAACCCTTCCACTGGGGTCACCTCAGACCATCAGAAAACACAGATTTTGCATGAATATTCATAACAATAGCAAAATCATGGTTATAAAGTAGCAATGAGATAATTTTATAGTGGGGGATCATCACAACACGAGGAATTGTATTAAGGGAAGAATTGCATTAGGAAGGTTGAGAAGCCGTGTGCTAAGGTACATAGAGAAACGCTAACTGAGGGAGGAGCTCCAGCTCTCTATCTAGCTATGAGGACTTCTTCGTGCACAGTGAGGCAAGGCTTTCCAGGCCGTGCTGCTTTGGGTCCCTGAAGTAAGCCACACTCCCTGGTTCACCATCCTAGAGTCAGGAAGAATTCTTTGGGTCTGTGTCCCATCCTACTCCCCCAACCCCGTTCTACCCAACCCCCTACCTACCCACCCTCGGGTAAGCGGAGGAGGGGGGGGGGACCAGCCGGAAGACACAGGCTGTGCAGTGGGAGTATTTCAGTCGGGTCTTCACTGGGATTTGCATATGTGGAGGGAATGCCCTCCAAAGTTGCAAATTTAATCTTTTTAGTCTTGGGAAGCATGGCAGTTGGCGTTTAACCGTTGAGCCTGTTATAAAAGTAAGTGTTTGGAGAATATCAGTTACCTGGAAATTATAGATGGTACAGTTTACAATAGAAATAGACAGTTCGGAGCAAAGAGCAGGAGCTCATTTCTAATTTGTGCACAAGGATTGGGAGGGGGAAAAGAAAAAGAAAGGAAGGAAGAACAGTGGAAAAATCCAGAAACTCAGAGAGAAACTTGGCTTGCTGACCAAGCTGGGCGAGGGAGATCACACAGTGCTTCTGAAACATGTTGAGCCCCCTTCTGAGTTAGCTCCCAACGTTTTCTTTTCCCTATTTCCTATGCAATTTTATATACATCACATTCCCAAAACAGCTTAAGAGATGCCAGAAGTTTCGTTGACTAGAACTGAGAGGAACATGTAACCCAGCTCTAACGAGAACCCTGGCCAGCTTCCCCAGAGATGAGAAAATACTCGCTTTAGCCAAGTACAGGAAGGTCTCATTTGTTTTCTTGGGTAACACTGGAAAATAAAGTTTCATCATGAAAGTAAAACTTCAGCCACATCTATCAGGGTGGCTATTTGCAAAACAAAACAGAAAATCCCAAGCGTTTTGTAAGGTTATGAGAAACCCACTGGTGGGAATGTTGGGAAATGCCGATTAGGAAATAATCAGTAGCGGCCTTGTTGGAAACCCACTCCCACGCTAGGTATTTCAGAGGGATGGAATATGGGGGCAGGGGTGGGGAGGTGGGTTGGGAGTAGAAAGTGGCCTTCTTGCCTCATGTATTGCAGGAGCGCAGGAACCGCTGAACCATGGCTTGTAACAGGCAAAATCTGGAACATCCTCCATGCCTAGCAGCAGGAGAATTCGTGAGGAGGCTGCCATGAATTCATAAAGAAGAATGAGACACCAGGCACAGGCGCTGCAGGGATAGTGGTGAGGCAGTGCTGAGCGAAGGAGGCTTGACTTGGTGTGACCTATCTATATACAGTTCCCAAGCAGGACCACTAAACACTAATAGGGAAGGAAGTGTTCACTGCCGAGCTCGAGGTACTGGGAGCTGGTTTGAGGGGAATAGCAGACTGTATGTACTGTGCGTAGGGTGGGGTCTTGGCATACAGGCAAGAATCTGCTTCCTAACAGTTCTCATCTTAAAGGGAATTATATACCATGGGATAATCTCAAGTGGGATATTGAGCAAAGGAGACTTGACCTGGTATGATTCTGCCTGTATAAAGTTCTCAAAATGGAGCAGGAGAGATGGCTCAGCCATTAAGGGCAGTTGCTGCTCATCCGGGAAACCTGAGTTAAGTTCTCAAGACTTATACCAGATGACTCACAGTTGCCTTCAATTCCAGCTTCAGGGGATCCAGTGCCACCTCCTGACCTCTTTGTGAACCTTTGCACATAGTGCACACATGGACAGACAGACACAGAAATAAATATTTTTAAAAGCCCCAAGTAAAAAACTAAACATTATTCATCCCTAGGAGGGAAGTAACTGAAATTAAGATAATGGGGTAAGGAACAAGTGCTTTAAAAATTAGCATTGTCAGCATGGTGGTGGTGGTGCACACATTTAATCCCAGCACTCAGGAGGCACAGGCAGAAGAATCTATGAGTTCAAGACCAGCCTGGTCTACAAGGCAAGTTTCAGGACAGCCAGGGTTACACAGTAAAACCCTGTCTGGAAAAAATACCAAAAATGATAATAAATTAATTGATAAGAATTGGTATTGTCTCTACCCAGGAGAAATGAGGGCAGGATCCACACGGGCACTTGTGCACTGTAGCAAGTCTTTCTCTGTCCCACCACCTCCCAAATGATGACACGGAGATTTCTTAATTATTATCAAAGTTTAGCCTCAGTTTGGGCTTGCTTCTAACTCACTCTTATAACTTAAATTAGCTCATTTCTATTAACTCACATGCTGCCCACATGGCTTGTGGCTTTTACCTCCCTCTCCTCCTCTAGGCCCTGCTTCCTCTGCATCCTGCTGGCAACCCCATCTTTCTTCGTCTCTGAGTTCTCTCTGTCCCACCTAACCTCTTCCTGTCTAACTATTGGCCACTCAGCTCTTTATTAAGCCAGTCACAATGACACATCTCCACACAGTGTAAAGGAATATTCTGCAATAGTATACGACCGATCTTCCTCGTGTCGTTGATGTGTCTTTATTCTGCTTGATGAGGGCATGGCAGTCTCCATGTTCTCTACTGCTGACTGACGTTTAAGATGTCTTGGGATCTGCCTGTTATAGTGGCCCAGTGGTTCCTAGACCCTGGTAACAGACAGACGGGGTGTTTGATTTCTACTTCGAATCCACCTCCTTGTATCAGAGACACCTAAAGTGGGTGCTGCTTTCTCAATGGTTCTTACTGCCAGCTCCAAATCAATGCCTCCCTAAATTTCTAATGAAGGAAAACTAACTAAAAGCACAAACTTCAGGGTCTCAAACCCAAGCCTCTCAAATCAGACAATCCTTGGAACATACAGAGGACTTTTTTTTTTAACGCATTGGTGCTTTGTCTGCATGTTAGCAGCCATGTGGGTGCTGGGAATTGAATGCAGGTCCTCTAGAAGAGCAGCCAGTGCTCTTAACAACTGAACTATCGCTCCAATCCACAAAGCCTTTTTTTAAAAAGTGCCTTAATTAACTCCTGGAGTTGCTCTGCCTCAGTTTCCTTAAATGATGGACTATGACCAAGGCAGGTAAGCCAGAAAAAAAAAAAAAAAACCCTTTCCTTCACTGAGTTACTTTGGGCATGGTCTTCATCACAGCAATAGAGAGCCAACTAGAGCAGGCAGTGGTGGCCCAAGTCTTTAATCCCAAGACTCAGGAGGCAGAGACAGGCAGAGATCTGTGAGTTTGAGGCCAGCCTGGTCTACAAAGCAAGTTCCAGGACAGCTAGAGAAATCCTGTCTTGAAAAACCAGAAAAGAAGACTAGGACATTATTGTTCTGCATAAACATATATGTGCCTATAAGATAAAGTCCTACAAATACACTTAACAAATAAGAATGCTTGTAGTTTCAATAAATATATTTGATTTGCTATTTGTAGTTATAAGTATTTGATAGTTATCACTAAACTGGCCTATGAGGACTTAGTATCAATCTAAGATTGAGAAGGATTTTTTTGGAAAGGGAAAACATAGTTGCACATCAGAGGCACATGTACTAGGTCACAGTCCCTGTACTTGGGTTTAAATTTCAGAAAGTGAACAGAGAATACAGACAAAGCCCATCCATGGCAACCACAGTTCCCAGTGTCTGTCTCCATAGCAATCACTGGATGGAAGTTTCCATGCCTCTCCTGACAGTCGGGATTCTTGTTCTTTCTAGTCATTGTTCTCAAAAAGGTCACAGTCCGTGCTCTCTGCTGTGGTTCAGAAAAAAGATGAAGCCACATTTTGTAGCCCTTTGTAGACATCATCCAGACCAAAGCATTGCTTCAGAAGTGAACGTCCCCAGAACCAGGCCAAAGGTGAGTTGTGCGCAGGGAACTCGGAACATTCCTGCCTCTGGAGGAGCATTTATGAATACAAGAACGAAAGGATGGGAACTTTAGACACAGTTGTGTTCTCTAGGATGGCAAGAACGTTCCAGCCCTAGAGAATCATTACTTTGAGCCTCCGCCAGGAGCTAAAGACAATACAACCAAGCATTGGATTAGAAGTGCACTCTTCCACAAAACGAAGGATTCTTGGCGCAAAAACTAGACAGTCTTTTGGGAGGCCTTTACTTTTATATAGTAGGAGATTTTACTGTGTGGCTTTCTGTCTTGCTTCTGCTTAAATTCTTGGTCCTCCTCTGAGTCTGATAGACAGAAGTAGAAACAAAATAGAAGCATGAAACTACAGAGGGAAGCAGAATTCCCTCTCTCCTCTCTCTCTTTTTCTCTCATGGGTTTTTTATTGTTGTTGTTGGGGGATTGCTGTTTGGCTTCATTTTCTTTGTCTTTTGTTTTGAGATATGACTTCATGATCTCTTGTTGGTAGGAAGGAACTCAGCATGGAGCCCACACTACCCTCATCCTCACAGCAATCCTCTGGCTTTAGCTCCCCAGATACTGACATTAGAGATGTGTACACTCCATCTGGCCAGATTTTCATTTGACTAAGTCAGGGTTTTGTTGCTTTTTGTTTATCTTTGATTTATTTCTTCGCTGTTTATGTTTGTTTGTTTGAGACAAAGTCTCACTACTATGTAGCCCTGGCTGGCCTGGAACTTGCTGTGTGGACCAGGCTGACCTCAGCAAATATCTGAAACCACCTATCTTATGTTTCCTGAGTGCTGGGATTAAAAGTATAACAATGATATGTTTTTATAAAATCTGTCAGTATTTCCTGACAGAAACAAAGGATTAAAAAAAAAAAAACAGCCGATTTTTATGCACAGTGAGTTCTTAGAGATTTCTCCTTATTTCGTGAAGAAATTCAAGCATCGGTCTTCGAATAATTTATCAGTTGAAGGCCTTTGATAGAGGACAAAGTAAGACGGAATCCGAAGCCGTCATTTCAGCACCATGAGTGCACAGCTGGAATTCACAGCGCTGGAGGTTTAGAAATTGCTTCTGGGCTTCTAGGACTGAAGACAGAGTGTGCGACCAGCCTAGCATAATCCCATACATCCCCAGCATGCACATGGAGTTTAGAGGACAAACTGAGAAAATCAGTTCTCTCTTTCCTCCAGGTGGGTCTCAAGGCTCAGACTCAAATCTTCAGGCTTTGCAGCAAGCACCTTTATTGGCTGTGACCCACCCCTTTCATGATGACTAAGTTAGGAAGAATAACAAATCTCATTCAATGGGTAAGGCGCTTTAAACACATGTGAGTGAATATCACCTGAGTGACCAGTCATTAAAATCTAGTTGCTCAGGGGTTAGAGAGACGGCTGCTCTTCCCAAGGTCCTGAGTTCAATTCCTAGTACCCACATGGTGGCTCACAACCATCTGTAATGAGATCTGGTGTCCTCTTCTGGCATGCAGGCATACATGCAGACAGAACATGGTATATATAATACATACATACATACATACATACATACATACATACATACATAAAGTCTAGTTGTTCAGCTGGGATAGAATCAAGTATCTGTAGATTACGTAAGGCAAATCTAAGGTTTGAGGCCTAACTTTCTAGAAAATCTTGAAGAGATCCAAGCAACCCCGAACAGATTTGTGCTGACTCACAAGACCACAGCTTCCCCACCACACTCTCATCTAGATTCTTCTTCTTTTTTTCTACAGCTCTCTCTCAACTAGATTCTAAGTAGTCATACATTCTCTGCCCAGGCTGTGGGTGAAGACGCTAAATCTTAGATATGGCCTGGATGCTTCCCAAGACCATGTATCTGCAAGCTCAGGCCCAGTTCCAAAGCCTGTCCTCTTAAGGACACTTTGCTGTCTCCTGCCTGTAGAAACACTAGGAGATCACCATGCAGGTGGAACTGGCAGTCCAGCTGGGCTGGTCCATGGCGAAGCACTGTTCTCAGGATGTCTTTGTTGCTAATTCCATGTTAGCCATATTGGTTGTGTGTGTGTGTGTCTTAAGTTTTTGCTTCTGTTTGTTTGTTTGTTTGTTTGTTTTTGAGACAGGGTCTCTCTATGTGGCGTTGGCTATCCCGGAAGTTGCTTTGTAGACCAGGCTGGCCTCAAACTCTCAGAGATCCAACAGCCTCTGCCTCTCACGTGCTGAGATTGAAGATATGCGCCACCACCGCCTGTCATTAACCATGTTTTTATTCCATTATCTTCTGATGTGTTGATATGATATGGGAATTAAACTTTCTAGATGAGCAATTAAGCTTCTCTTCTGGAGTAGTGAAGTTCTAAAGAACAAGAAATTACAGGGGTCCACCTGTAACCTCAGATAAGCTTTCTGAGAAGCCTGCCATCCCGAGTTTGAGCCGAGGAAACCATGTGGTTGAAGGGAGAGAACCAATTCACACAGGCTGTCCTTTGGCCTTTTCTTGTGCTACTTGGCATTTACACACGCACACTCACATACACGCACATGCACACTCACAAATAAGTAAATAAATGAAATAAAAATCAATTAGGAACTGCAGCACTAGGGAGATGTCTCAGTCATTAAGGACCATCTGCTGTAAAAGCGTGAGGTGCTGTGTTTAGAACCCCAGTGCCCATGTAAAGAGCTGGGCAGAGTGGCAGTGACAGGCAGATCCCTAGAATCCATCGGCCAGCCAGACCAGCTGAAACAGGGAGTCCAGGGCTCAGCCAAAGACACCAACCTCAAAAAATCACAAAAGAGACTGTAGAAGGTACCGAGTGTTAACCTCTGCCCTCTATATGCCCTTGCACACTCACACACCCACACTCCAATAACACACGTGTGCATGTACACATCCATAATACTACACACACACACACACGATTAGGGATTAGCCTGTGAGCCTTTTTCATGTCAACCTGCAAGTCCTGAAACTGCAGCCACACCTGCCCCTTATCACATTTGTAGCTGGTTGTTTTCATTTTATTCTTTTGGTCCTTTGTTCTATGAGGGCCCATTACCCAGCTCCCAAATAAATCACAGGGAGTTTTATTCTTCCTTATGAATGTCCAGCCTTAGCTTGACTTGTTTCTAGCCAGTTTTTCTTAACATAGCCCGTCTACCTTTTGTCTTTGGGCTTTTACCTTTCTCTATTTCTGTATATCTTTTCTTTCCTTCTTATTCCATGTCTGGCTGTGTGGCTGGTGGCTGACCCATTCTTTTCTCGTTCCTTCCTTTGTCTCTCCTCCTATTTATTCTCTCTGCCTGCCAGCCCTGCCTATCCTTTCTCCTGCCTTGTTAGTGACCATACAGCTCTTTATTAGACCAACCAGGTGTTGTAGGCAGGCAAAGAAACACAGCTTCACAGAGTTAACCAAATGTAACATAAATGAATACAACGCATCTCTGCATCTTTAAACAAACGTTCCACAGCAAAAACAAATGTAGCACATCTTAAAATAATATTCTACAGCACAACTCTCACACCAAGCCAGTGTTCCATTTGCCCTAAGTCATCCAAGGGCCAGGTACCCAGTTATCACTTCTACAACCCAATGCCTGTGCTATCCCTCAAATACTCTGACTCAAAGCTGGTTGCCCTGCCCTGCCTTGCCTTACCCCTTGGAGAGCCCCAATAAAGGCCCTACCTCCACATTCCCTCCCCTGGAGTTAGTTCTTCCTGGAGCCAGGGGTGGGCCTTGTTACCTGACAGCAGGAATTTGTGGCATAAATAGCCACTCATTACAACCAAGACAGGCAAGGCTCTTTTACCGGGACTTAAGCTCAAACTGGCCAACTTGGGCGCTAACTAAAAGGATAGCAGAGATAGAGAGGCCGGCTGCTGTTCACAGGACCAAGGAAATGGCAGACGCTTGCCGGTTTTTCCAAGTAGTCTGGTAATCGTCTGGTGGTCATGGCACCAAGTTTTCCTTCTCTCTATTTATCCTATTTATTGTTTGTTTATATTTAGGGACAAGTCTATTTAGATGTAGCTCAGGTTAGCCTCTAATTCACTTCAATCCACTGCCCCAGCCTCACAGAAGCTGGGAGAACAGGTGTGTGCCATAAGGCCTGGTTTAAGGTTTTCTTGTGTGCAATCATTCCAGCCTGGAGGTTTATAGGCTAAGAGCCATGACTCAACTCAGGAACTGTTGTGTGTGTCTCCTGTTGTTGATGTCGTCGTCTTCCATAAACATCCTGGCCTATGGTTTGCTGGAGCCTTGATGAGGCTAAGGGACTGTCGTTTGCATGAGCCGCCAAGAAAGCACGCACAGAGTCAGGCACTCACACCAGCACCAGTGGACAAGGGTCAAGTTAGAATTGCAGTATGCTGGGCATGATGAATATGCCTGTCATTACCAGCTCAGGCGAAGCTGAGCAGAAGCATCACCCTGAGTTATTCCAGTCAGCCTGGGCTCCAACAAAAACTGTATTCGAGTCTTTGACAAAACACGTGAGTGTGCATGCATTGTGTGTGTATGTGTGTGTGTATGTAGTTGTTAGTGTAGGTGTGTGCATGTGTGTGTACAGGTTGCATGCACGTGTGTGAACACGGATGTGGAGACCCAAGGCTGATATCAACCGCCTTTCCTCTATGTTTTTTTGAGATGGGCTAGAATCCCTGGTTTCAGGGGTCTACCCAGCAATGCTGGAATTACAGGCATATGCTTCCACACACACATACAGGGTTTTTTGTTTGTTTGTTTTAGTTTATTTTTAACATGTGCGTACTCTGTCTTCATGTACACCTGCAGGCCAGAAGAGAGCATCAGATCTCATTAGAGATGGTTGTGAGCTACCATGTGGTTGCTGGGAATTAAACTCAGGACCTCTGGAAGAACAGTCGGTGCTCATAACCAGTGCCCCCCCCCACACACACATGTGGGTTCTGGGGATCTAAACTTAGGTCCTCAGGTTTATAGGGCAGATACTTCACCAGCTGAGTCATCCCCCACAGCCCTTGGGTGCAACATTTTAATGACCACCGTGTCTATGTGTAAAGCTCCGAAGAATTTGACCCCAGGGTTAAGGACCAAAGGGAACAGACACGATATAAAGACAGATGCCAAGCCTTTTATGTCACTTAGCCATCCATCAGATAGAATCTGTAGGTTACAGTGAAAAGCCAGTGTTTAGTAAAGGGCTCCTTCAGGTTCTGAGAAGTAACCTAGGCAACTGTTAGGAAAACCTACATCAGAGTCTTATCTCCTGCAGGTCAGTGGGAAGTCGTCAATATTGTGTTGCCCAGCTGTGGGACCTCCAAAATTAGGAATTTTCAGGTCAAGAAAGAACAAATGTGATTTAGCTTTGACGGGTTGATATTGAAGCTGGTTCTGGGCCCTTCCAAGGGCATCTCATGGCACAAAAATTTTCTGGTTATTAGTTTTCCCTGCCTTTATGGGGTGATGATGATGTGACTGCCTTGAGCCACACTGGTTTTTACTCGGTTTAGTCATATAGGCTCCGTTGTCAGTAAACGTTCCAGTCTTGTGACTTAATCTACCATTATATCACAAAGCTATCGAAACTGTGCTTTCTGTGGGTCTCAAGGTAAGGGCCCTGCGTTTATCCTTTTGGGCCCTTTAAGTGGTCCCTGTCTCTTTCAACACAGTATGCCCATTATAAACTCATGGGCACAAATGTCTGACACGGGGGCTGAAGAAGTAGCTCCATTGTCCGACATACACAAACCCCTGGGTTCAATCCCAGTCTTGGATAAACTGGACATGGAGCATACATGTAATTCCAGGTTGCAGGAGTGTAGTAGGAGGTTTCGGCCCCGCGATAAACACACAGAAACTATATTATTTGCAATGCTGTTTGGCCAATAGCTTAAGCATATTTCTGGCTTACTCTTATCTTAAATTAACCCATCTCCATTAATCTGTGTATTGCCACGAAGCTGTGACTTACTGTGTAAAGTTCTGGCATCTATCTCTGGTGGGGCTACATAGCTTCTCCCCGACTCTGCCTTCTTTCTTCCAGCATTCAGTTTAGTTTTCCTCACCTAGTTCTGCTCTATCACAGGACCAAAACAGCTTCTTTATTAACCAATGGTATTCACAGCACACAGAGGGGAATCCCACATCACAGAATTTCAAAGTCAAGTCCAGCTAAATGGTGATTTCAAGGCCAGCTAGTCTACCTGAGACCCTGGAGTAGGTGGTGGTGGTGGTTGTTGTTTTAAAAAAAAATTAAAACCGGGAGGTGGTGGTGCATGCCTTTAATCCCAGCACTCAGGAGGCAGAGGCAGGCAGATCTCTGTGAGTTCAAGGCCAGCCTGGTCTACAAGAGCTAGCTAGCTTCAGGACAGGCTCTAAAGCTACAGAGAAACCCTATCTCAAAAAAAGAAAGAAAAAATTAAAATTAAATATCATCTGGCTTGATGTGTGCCTTTAACCTCAGCATGTGGGAAGCAGAGACAATAGGATTTCTTTGAGTTTGAAGCCAGTCTGGTCTACGTGATGCATTAATTCCAGGCTGCTCAGAACTACTTAGTGAGATTCTGTCTCAAAAGAGTCTAGAGATTAGATGTCCTGATTTAATCCAGGAGAAGCTGATTCTGGAGGCTTCCTGTAGAATGAAACTGGTGCTTTCTATAGTTCTCTTTTATTCAGTCATAGCAATGCTTACCTAGCACCATGCACAGTTCTACCTGTTTCCATTCATCCGGCAGCCTGTGAACTCTGAAAGCCTGACAATAATCTTGTGTGGTGTATGTATCTGTCTGTGGTGTGTTTGTGGGCATGTGTGTGCAGAGGTGTGCTCACTCATTCATGCACCTATGGACACAAAGGTTAATGTCAAGTGTCTTCCTCTATGGCTCTCTATCTTTGTTTGTTCTGTTTTGTTGTTCCAAGACAGGGTTTCTCTGTGTAGTCCTGGCTGTCCTGGAACTCATTCTGTAGATCAGGCTGGCCTCTAACTCAGAGATCTGCCTGCCTCTGCCTCCTGAGTGCTGGGTTTAAAGACAAGGGCCATTACCACTCACATTTTTTTAATTATTATTATTTTTTATTTGTAGGAGTGTGTATGTGTGGGGGTGCATACATGCCATAACATGCATGTGGAAGTCAGAGGCCAGCCCATGGGAAACAATCCCGTCTTCCTGCTGTATGTGTCCTAGGGTTGTCAGGCTTGGCAGCAAGCACATTGGCCTGGTAAGCCATTTTACTGTTCTTCTGTCTTGTTTCTTTTCGCCGTTGTTCTCTTGAGTTGTTTGAGTTATTTTTAAGATTATTTATTTTGTGCCGGGTGTTGTTGGTGCACACTTTTATTCCAGCACTTGGGAGGCAGAAGGAGGTGCCCCTGAATTCCTGACTGGTCCATATGGTCTGCTATCTTCATTGTACTGAAAGCACTGGGGTTATGAGCATGCACTACCATGCGTGGCTTTCTACATGGGTGCAGCCCTAATTGTTCTTTAAAGAGCTAAGAATATGGTTGGGAGATAGAATGCTTGCCTAGTAATATACAAGAGCCTGCCTTTGAGCCCTAGCACTGAAAAAAAATTGTTTTAAATATATACAAAACTGTGCCTATTGAAGTTTTTGTTTGTTTGTTTATTTCTCAGTTAACATCTTGGTTGATTCTTGGAACTGCAGCAAGTCCAGAACATTTCGGGAACCTGTTATAGAGCAAATTCCCAGTTCCCAGCAATGTTTGCTTTTCTCATCTTTCCTAGTAATAAAAATTTTAATGGCACATAGCCACCCAGAACGGACATGACTCCTGGCTTCCCTTGTGGGGCAAGCACGGTCAGTGGACTAAATTGGAATCACCTGGATGGACGGATGCACAATCCCTGTGGCTCCCAACCCTTTGCTTTTGTTGTTGTTTGTCCCTTCCTTACATCCTTACAGCTGGAATGTGATGTCACTGGAAGGGCTGGTCCCTAACGGTTTTCAGAAGCAAATTGCTGTTGTTCAATTTGCCTATTTTGTTAAGCAACTGCTATCTGGGGTTTTCTTTCACTCACAGCCAAGACAAATCATTACGAATTCAGTGGCAAACGGCCTAAATAAAGCGATCAAGGAGGGGGCACTTAGTGACGAACTTCATAGCTGCATGGTTTAACTGAGACTGCATCATAGAGGCAATGAAAACAGTACTTTTTGAAGTGCATGGTTTTAATAATTTCAAGTCATTTCTCCTTTAGATCTTCACAATAACTATCTGGGTCAGAGAGAGGAAGACTAAGGTGAAAACTTCCTCCGTTGGCCTGAGGGTCTGTTTTTTGTTTGTTTGTTTGTTTGTTTTTTCCTGAGCAGTCTCACCACCTGGTCTGGCTCCATGAGCCAAAGATAAATATAGTAGACAGTGCAGATTTTACTTGTTATTTCAATAATTTTTTTGCAATTATAATTTTCTTTCAGATATTTATTTTATTTTACCTATGTATGAGCGTTTTGCCTGCATGTTCACACGTGCATCCGAAGGTATCAGATTCTCTGGAAGGGATGGTAGTGAGCCACCATGTATGTGCTGGGAACCGAACTTGAGTCCTCTGGAAGAGCAAGGAGCTCTCGGAACCACGAGCTAAGTCTCCCACTTTGATTATAATTTGATTGGGAATATACAATGATGATGAAGTCAAAGTTCAGAGAGAGGCTGAGTGTTGGGGGGCTGGAGAGATGGCGGTTAAGAGTACTGGGTCTTCTTCCAGGGTACCCGGGTTCTGAGCACTCCGATGGCAGCTCACAACTGTCTGTAATTCCAGTTCCAGGGAGCCTGACACCCTCACACAGACATTATGCAGACAAAACATCAATGTGTATAAAGTGAAAATAAATAAACAAATATATATACACACACACATACATACCCTGGTATTCTTTTTGTCTCCTTCAGTCTCCCATGCCTCTACCATGCCAGTGACTGCCACATTCTGCTGCCTTCCTAAGATGAACAGGGAAGGAGAGACGGTTCTGAGCGGTCTTTGCAAGGCAAGTTTTCTATTTGCTTGGGTTTCTACTTGCTTGAGTGGCCTCCAGGGTTGTGCCTTCGTTCGGATTCCCTCAGGTACTGGTGATTTATTTGGGAGATGACTGGAGAAAGCATTGCGAGTGAATAGGGACGTGAAACAGGGAACAGAATGGAGACACCAGTGTGTGTTCCTGAAGGCTTATCTCTTTACACAACTTCGGGGGGGGGGGTCCATCCTGTACAGTACCTCCTGAGAGACTATTGAGGACTCCCAGAGAATTGTCCTCTAGAAGGAGAGGAAGCCAGAGGATGTATCCACCCACTCCTGTGTCCAGTTTGGTTTACTGGGGTTTTGCTGGGTGGTGCTAAGCATATGTCCTATTGCTGGACTACCCCACCATTCCCCTGAAGCCCGTGTGTTTGTGTTGCTCCAGGGAACTGGCCTCTGTAACGTTTCCATCTGTGTGCATGCTAGCCAAGCACACTTCTGCAACCAAGGAAGGGCTACAGGCTGGGAGGCAAAGAGCCTGAGGCAAGAAGCCATCGAGAAGGCTGGTGGTATACCCCGGTTGGTAGAGTTATTTGTCTGGCACTTATAAAACCCAGGATTTGACTCCCAGAACCCCACAAACTGGATGGGATGGTGTATACATAATTTCAGCATTTATGGTAGAGGCAAGAGGATCATCCTTAGCTACATAGCAAATTTGAGGATGGCCTGGGCTACACAAGACCCTGTCTCAAATACTAAAATCAAATTTAACCAGTAGAAGGCACTGGACACAGGGGAACTGTCTCTCATAGGTCTGAGTGAGCTCCTATGGGAGACCTAGCATCTTCTATAGACAGATGGATAATCAATGTAAGACAACCCTGTCTCCTCCTCCCCCCCCCCCCTTTTGAGATAGGGTTTCTCTGTAGCTTTGGAGCCTGTTCTGGAACTCACTCTGTAGACCAGGCTGGCCTCCAACTCACAGAAATCCGCCTGCCTCTGCCTCCCAAGTGCTGGGATTAAAGGCGTGCGCCACCACCGCCTGTCTCTCCCCTTTTCTAGAACTCTTTGAAGTCTTAACTTTTCAAGTGTCTTCACTGCCAGCATCCTGGGCAGAGTCAGCAAGTCTCCACACATCATTCCCATTTGCCTCTTGTCAGTCTAAACAATGGGATTAAGGGGCAAGGACATAGTTTAAACATCCATCGGGAGATTTTCTCTCCCTTCCTTCCTTCCTTCCTTCCTTCCTTCCTTCCTTCCTTCCTTTCTTTCTTTTTGTTTGTTTTTCAAGACAGGGTTTCTCTGTAGCTTTGGTGCCTGTCCTGGAACTAGCTCTTGTAGACTAGGCTGGCCTCGAACTCACAGAGATCCGCCTGCCTCTGCCCGACTATATATTTATTTTTAGTTTTATTTGTTTATATTTGTCCCTCACCCTCCATAGTGGGTATGTGGATTTCGGGGGACAACTTTAGGGGGTCATTACTTTCTTCATACCTTGTGGGTTCCAGGGATCAAACTCAGGCCAATGTAAAGAACAAGTGGAACGTAGTGTTTGTTACACAGTGCCAGGGATTGAATCAGGGCTCTCGAGCGAGGCGGAAGTGCTCTCACAGATATCCCCAGCCCTGTGATTTTGTTTTTGCTACCTAGTGTTCTTTTTTTCTGTGTGTAGGTGCCTACAGAGGCAGAAGAGGGCAGCAGACCCCATTGTGTTTTAGTTACAGGGGCTTGCGAGCTCTGTATGAGGGCGCTGAGAACGACTCTGGTCCTCAAAAGCAGCAAACACTAACCAGCAAGCTACCTCTCTCGCCCCTGTGCTTCTTTTTTGGTTGAAATATCTAAGAGTTTCGTCAGACATCACAGCAGCTGTAGCGGAAGAGCAAGGCCATAAACTTTTAGGGAGGTGTCACTCCTTTGAGTTCATAAAACCCTGGCTGGGATGAAATCGCTGGATCGGTCCTCTGCTAGTGTGGCTCAGACCTGAGGTTGTTCATGCCATAGAGTGTTCTGGGTCCACTGCAATTCCTCTGGAGTTCCCAATGGGTTGTGTGTGTGTACACAAATCATTCCTACTTTGAGCCGATGCCACTCTAATGAGCAATATAAATATCACCTTGTTGGGTCCACGGGGATTGTGCAAAGTTGGGGACAGACCATGGAAAGCTAATAAACCAGAAACAAACTTTATTAAAAAAAATAAATCTCCATGGGGCACAAAAAGCTTATCAGCTAGCTGAGACCACAGCCAGAGATGGACTTGTAAGGTTGTGGCAAAGGACAGATTTTGAACCCTCCCTTTTTATATTAAGAAGCTATGAGCATTAGGCAAATAATAAGAAATGTTTACAGTCTTGAGGCGACTTAAGACACAGATTGTCCTATTTTGCAATTTCCATTAACAGAGTGTTTCAGTTAAATTAGCATTTGTATTTAGTCCAGTGTTTTCCCCTGGCGTTCCCTGATAGTGTTTACCAAGGCTCTGCATCTCCCCTGACTTGGCAAGGAAGGGTACTGGAGAATGCACAACCAAAAAGTCAAAAGTCACATACATCCCTTCATTTAATACACTATTTTCTTTGATGAAGTAAAAAAAAAAAGTTAGCTCAGGTCACATCAGTTGCTGGTCATGAGTGGCCAGGGGGTATCTAAAAGCTGGTCCTCAGTTTGCAGAGGGCGCTTTAGCCACACAAACAGAGCTATGGGTTGTAAAGCAGAGTAACCCGCTATTGATAGTTAATCCTCAAGCTGCTGACAGCCTGCTCTCACTCTCCTAGGCTTACAAGTTTATATTTCTTTATTTCTACATTCTTATTCCTGGAATCTACATTTTTATATTCTTATTCTTGGACTCTTCAAACCTCACAACAAGAAATTGAAGGCATCTCATTTCTGGGTGTTGCTGGATTTTTTTTTTTTTTTTTTTGGCTTGGTTAAATTCAATTTTCAGCTATATGGCCGATGACACCAATAAGAGAGCCAAATTGTATTATGTATTGAGCAGGACTGCCATATAAAATACTCCATCTTGCATTTAAAATTTTACTACATTTATTCATTTATTAGGGGGGGTATGCCTGTGGGGGGGAACGATCAGTTATCTCATCCATGTTGATTCTGGGGATCAAACTGAGCTCTCGTGGCTTGGCAGCAGGTGCCCCCACACTGAGCCATCTTACTGGGCCCCATCATGCCCTTTTTTTCTTTTGAGTCAGGGTTTCTCTGTGTAACAATCCTGGCTGTCCTAGAACTCACTTTGTAGACCAGACTGGCCTTGCACTCGCTGAGAGACACCAGCCTCTGTCTCTGTCTCCGAGTGCTGGGTTTGAAGGCGTGTGCCATCACCGCTGGCTTTTTGTTTTGTTTTGTTTAATTTTCAAGACTAGGTTTCTCAGTGTAATAACCATGACTGTCCCAAAGCTCACTGTGTAGACTAGGCTGGTCTCAGAGATCTGCTTGCGTCTGCCTCTGGAGTGTTGGGATTAAAGGCCCGTACTACCCGTGCCAGCTCCGATTTGATTTTCTTAGAGGTGCGTTGACCTTTAGACCCTTAGACAGTTCAGGGAAATGAGAGGTGAACAGAAACTTTAGGAAATTTCTGGGAAAGTTTTTCATTTCCTGATGAAAAGGAACAAATGTTGCTCCCAGCTTTCCCCTTTGTCCCTTGTTCAGCTACAGCAGCGCCTTCCAACCCAAAGAGGGTTCTGGGCCCTGCCCTGCGCAGCCAACAGTCCTGTGTGCTGGCTCCTTTAACTCGGATTACGTCGCCTTCTAGAGTGAGTTACACTGTTGCTGACCTGACGGTGAGAAATGTAGACCGGCTAGAATTACCTAACACTGTAAATATCCCAGAGACTGTCACAGACTTTAATGTCACCGGCTTCAAAATTAGCTCCAGGCGGTGTTGCAAGCTGGCTCACCAGGCCAGCCTGCAGACTTACCCACGTGGGCAGGACTTCTGTGCTTAGAGAGGGATTAGAAACCTCTGAACTGGTCTGGTGGGCCTCCCGACTATCCCTTTGGCCCTTCTGAGTCCTTTTGAATCAGACTTTGTCATCTAAGGGAGGGAAGAACAAGCAAAGACACAGGGTTAAAATGGGAAATTTTTTTTTCTCTCTAGGGTTTTTAAGCCTAGTCCTGAGGTTAAGACTTGTTAGTGGGGCCCACCTGCTATCCTTTTAAGGAGATAAAAGACTACATCCACCGGTGCCCCTTCCACTCTCTTCCAGTCCACTCCCCCCACCCCAAACCCTATAATTAAAAAGGCTCTTTTCAGATGGGGATACAATTCAAGCACCATTATTATGAGAGCCCTGCCCCGTTTCTGTGGTTACTGACAACCCCCTTTGTGTAGGTCTCATTAAATCAAACCAGGGATTCCTGATTAGGGGGATGTGTGTGTGTGTGTGATGATGATGATTTTTAGCAAGAGAAAGCTGTGTTGGTCTAACAAATAATGTTGCAGATACAGGTCTGACAGCCCTTTGGATTAGAAAGGAATATTATTTCTCTTGCTGGAGTCGCTAACAAATCAACCGTGAGAAATTGATAATGGTTTTTGTCACCCTGCCCTTGCTCTGTCCTGGCAGCGTTTCTCTGTCACTGAAAGGGAGACACACAGCTTTCTCTGAAAAGCTATTTCATTGCCAGGGAGATCAATGAAACTCCACTTTCATCTTATGCTTCTTGGGCTGTTAGAGTAATTTACTTCTCATGAAGAAAATGATACTTAGCCAAACCATAAGCAATAGCAGGTTTTCCTTAAACCTTGAAAAGTAAAATGTGGATTGGGAAGACAGGCCAGCGGGTAAAGGCACTTACCAACAAACCTGATAACCCTAGTTCTATTCCTGCTACCCACGTGGTCGAGGGAGAGGACTCCCCACAGGTTGTCCTCTGAGTTTTACCTGTGCAAAGTGACACATGTACACACACACACACACAGAGGCATGAATGCACACACATGTACAAAGTCAAATGTAATTTAAACTTTTAAGTTGACATACAGTGAGATGCTCTTACATTTTACCT